TGAGCTGAGCCCAATCACAGCAGATCACGTGTCAATTGTATACCATGGATGGCTTCCTGTCATGCCATCCATTGTATAGAATTATGTTGTTAGCTGTGACTGGTCAAGGCAGTCACATGATACAGACAAGGCCAATCACAGCCCATTTGTATCATGTGATCAGCTTTGCCCAATCATGGCTATTCATAATAAAAGACTGAATGAATCAATTTCATTCCGTAACAATGATTGCAAATATCAATGAAGACACATTGGTATTAGCAATCATAATGTGTTAAAAAAAATCCTGATCACTTGCCCACAGTAGTTCAATGTTACTATGGTAACATTGTATTGCTTTGGTCACAGTGTGCTAAAAAAAAAAATAGTAAAAAAAAAAGAAAAATTTTTATAAAAAAAAAAAAAAAATAATAGAAACATTTGAATAAAAAAATGCAAATTCAATTATTATTAATATTTTCACCAAATAAATGTAACATAATACATTTTGACCTAAATTTATGAAGAAATGTTATTTATGTGCAAAATTTTGAAACAAAGAAAAGTGCGGTTTTGTTTTTAAAAGTTTCAGGTGTTTTTTGTTTTATTTAGCAAAAAATAAAAAACTCAGTGGGGATTAAATACCACCAAACAAAAGCTCTGTGTGAAAAAAAATGATAAAAAATTTCATATGGGTGCAGTGTTGCATGACCGCGCAATTGTCATGCAAAGTGCGACAGCGCTGAAAGCTGAAAATTGGCCTGGGCAGGAAGGGGGTATAAGTGCCCGGTATTGAAGTGGTTAAAGTGGAGATATACAGTTGTGTTCAAAATAATAGCAGTGTGTTGAAAAAAGTGAATAAAGCTGAAAATCCTTCTAATAGCTTTTATTTCCATACACACAAATGCATTGGGAACACTACACATTCTATTCCAAATCAAAACATGAAGAAAAATACATCAAATTTGTGTTGTTCCTCTAAAAAAATTTAAGAAAAGTGAATATTAGACTGTTCAAAAAAATAGTAGTGTTTATATTCTTCTTTACAAACTCAAACATTCACTATATAAACTGAAAAATGTTTGAAGATTTTGCTTTCCTTTGAATCAATTAATATTCAGTTGTATAAGCACTGTTTCTGAGAACTGCTGTACATCTGTGTTGCATGGAGTCAACCAACTTCTGGCACCTGTGAACAGGTATTCCAGCCCAGGATGATTGGACTACATTCCACAGTTCTTCTCTATTTCTTGGTTTTGCCTCAGAAACAGCATTTTTGATGTCACCCCACAAGTTTTCTATTGGATTAAGATCCGGGGATTGGGCTGGCCACTCCATAACGTCAATCTTGTTGGTCTGGAACCAAGATGTTGCACGTTTACTGGTGTGTTTGGGGTCATTGTCTTGTTGGAACACCCATTTCAAGGGCATTTCCTCTTCAGCATAAGGCAGCATGACCTCTTCAAGTATTCTGATGTATTCAAACTGATCCATGATTCCTGGTATGCGATAAATAGGCCCAACACCGTAGTATGAGAAACATCCCCATATCATGATGCTTGCGCAACCATGCTTCACTGTCTTCACAGTGTACTGTGGCTTGAATTCAGTGTTTGGGGGTCGTCTGACAAACTGTCTCCGGCCACTAGACCTAAAAAGAACAATCTTACTTTCATCAGTCCACAAAATGTTGTGCCATTTCTCTTTTAGGCCAGTCAATGTGCTCTTTGGCAAATTGTAACCTCTTCAGCGCGTCTTTTTTTTCAACAGTGGGACTTTGCGGGGGCTTCTTGCAGATAGCTTGGCTTCACATAGGCGTCTTCTAATTGTAACAGTACTCACAGGTAACTTTAAACCTTCTTTGATCTTCCTGGAGCTGATTGTTGGCTGAGTCCTTACCATTTTGGCTATTCTTCTATCCATTCGAATGGTAGTTTTTCGCTTTCTTCCACGTCTTTCAGGTTTTGGTTGACATTTTAAAGCATTTGCCGTCATTTTAGCTGAACAGCCTATCATTTTCTGCACTTCTTTATATGTTTTCCCCTCTCCAATCAACTTTTTGATCAAGGTACGCTGTTCTTCTGAACAATGTCTGGAACGACCCATTTTCCTCAGAATTTCAGAGAGAAATGCACTGTAACCAGCATGTACAACATTTGCTGCCTTCCTTTCTTAAATAAGGGCAATAATTGCCACCTGTTTTTCAAAGAATGAATGACCTCACTAATAGAAGTCCACACTGCTATTATTTTGAACATGCCCCTTTCAATTAGTGATTCAATTACACAGAATCAGCAGCATGCATGTCATGACTGTTGGGTCTGTTGGATTTCTATTACTCTACTACACCTGCTAGTAAATTATTTGCCATGTAGAAATGTAATTTCTACCAAAAACAGTGATTGATCAGGTTAGTGATGTCTGACTGCTATTATTTTGAACACAACTGTACTTAAAGTTTGACTATCCAAAAAGGATTCAATAGCACAATTAATGTGACAAGGCAAAGTAGTAAAAATGTACTTTTAGCATATATTTCCTTATTAGAAGCAGCAGAGCATTTCCTCACATGTAACAGTCACTTGGCATGCTCCTCCTTACTTCTATCCTCACAGAAGATCATTGGGTGTTTGGTAGTCATGCCCCACCCACTCCTGCTTCTGATTACAGGATTACATTGATTGTTTCATCAAGTTTAAAAAGGGTCCCCAGCAGGGGCGGACTGACCATTTGGAAACTGGGGCACTGCCCGAGGGCCCAGGGTCAGTAGGGGGCCCTATGAGATGCCCCTGGTACCTTTTTCATAGGCTTTTTTGAGTTTGGGCAAGGACACAGGAGGGGCCCCATGATCCCCTATTGCCCGGGGGCCCCATGAGTTGTCAGCCCGCCCTTGGTCCCCAGTATTGCCTATAGCTTTCTGTAGATAACCTTTTCCCTATTACTGACTAACCTTGCCTTGCTTTGAACTGTGTTCCTGTGTGCCATCTTAGTAGAAAAGCAGGGCTTTGCTTACTTAGCCACCATGGTGACTGTGACGGTATAATCAAGAAGCAGCAGAAAAGGTAGAAAAGGCACAGACCTACAGAAAGGATGAACTAGAAGCAGGGAGTTACTTGCAAGGAGAACAGGAATATGCACTTTAGTGAGATCACTGTTATCACTCCAAAAATCATGACTAAGGGCTGGTTCATACTATAGAAACGCAGTCCAGATGTGTTCCGGATGTGATTTTTCATGCACATTTTTGACGCGTTCCAGTGCATTTTTTATGTGTTTTTGACGTATTCCAGTGCTGTTTTTATGATTCGAGTTCATTTTCTCACCTCTATATTTCTTAAATATAAATAGGGGCATGTGCATTACAGTGCTTTTTTGGTGCAATCTGGTGTGTTTTTGATGCGTTTTACCGCGTTCCAGTACAGTTGTGTGCAGAAAAAAAATGCAGCATGTTCTTTTTTTTCTGCAACCAGAATGCACTGGAACTGCAAGCACAATGTGAACTATGACATTGATAACCATATATCCTACTTTCTCTGTGTTTTGGATGAAGAAAAAAAGCAACTGAAACGCATGTAGTGTGAACTGGCCCTAAGGGCTAGTTCACACTAGATGCAGATCGGTGCGCTTTTCTTCTGCATACAAAAGGCATGCACAGTGTTTTCCATGTATTCCAATGGCCCTAGTTCACACCAGTGCAGTCAGTTCCAGTCAGTTTCTGGTGCAGAAAAAAAAGTAGAACATGCTGCATTTTTTTTCTGCACAGAACCATACTGGAACATGGGAAACGACATCAAAACTGCACCAGAACTGCGTGTGGTGTGAACTGTAAGCAAAAAACATATCCAGAATGCATCTGGAGTGCGTTTTTGTAGTAAATTGGCCCCAACAGCAGGGGGCAGTATTGGGCTACAAAACAGGAGTGTTTAGGCAGTAAACCCTTTGGCACCAGCACCCTTTGGCCCTTTAAGGGTTTTGTGATGCCAGGAGTCATGTAACCGTTGAGATTGGCAATTAGCAATTGGGACCTTTCCATGAGGTGTCGGTAAATGTCCCAGTAGCACGCAGGGCGTGTGTTCTCTGCACATGTCTGTTTACATTGGGTACACAAATATGAGGCCTCTCGGCATCAAGGCCCAGCCAGCAACAGGCTACATATTTGTGTACCATCGGCGCCAAGGAGTTAATATTAGGTGATCCCTATATGATAGCAAATTTTCACTTTTTTGAATTCAGACTTATGGGTCCTTTGCTGTACTACAATTCCTTGCATGCCTCTCATCAGTTACATCCTCAAGGTACATTTTATGGTTACTTCTAAGTATGTTTAAAATAGAAACTTTGCCCCAACCCTATTTATGGGGAAAATATCTTGCGTGGTTAAAAGAGAATTGTGGGTTTGGATTTTTTCCCCCCAATTATACTTACCTAGGTGGATGCTGCATCTGTCCCCCGCCGGCTCTAAGTGTGAGAACTCAGCGATCACATGACAGCTGATCAATGAGTTCTCACCACCGCTCTGAGCGGTAACTGTATGCCATCACTGTCTGATTGCCCCCCCCCCCCCCGTGCTCACTGGAGTGGTGGGCTGTGGAAGTGGAGGAATCGCTGAGAAGCTGAGCCAGGTGCCACTCCAAACTCTGAGGTGGAACTTGACTTTAAGGCACTTCTGAACGATGCACACAGGGCACTTCTGAACGATGCAAACTGACTGCTGGAAAATGTAGGTTAAAAAAATGTCTGTTTAGCTGCGTTTGCATACCGCATTTATGAGCGTTAGCATTTAGAAGCATTTCTTAAAGATAAGCACAGGAGAACCTCCCAAATGCCCAGAATGCACTGAAAAGTGGTAAAATATTAACTATTTCAGACTGTTTCAGAGGAATACAGAGAGTAGAAGCAGAGACAGCAGTATGTGTTGATATTAGCTTAGGTGAGAGTTGCTCATTAACATTTCTTTTGTTTCTGAGGGTGGGAAAGGTGTCTGGTGGAGTGAGTCATTAAGGCCACCTGGCAGGGGGTCTTCATGAGGAATTTGAGGTGTGAATGGTCATTAACATATCTTTTGTTTCCAAGGGTGGTAGAGGTCCATGGTGTGAATTGGTCATTACAATGTGTGACAAGCTTGGTAGAAACATCCTGTTTTCAGTGTTTTGTCCATTTGAGTACCTTGAAAATGCTTTGCATGCATTTTTCATGATGAAAAAAGGCTCTGGACAGCATCGGGAACTGGAAGTTAAAAAAAAATTATAGATGCAAACGCTTATAAACACGATTTTCCTCGTTTATCAGCAATTAGCCACGTTTACAAACATTTTGTGTTTGAAACACTGAGAAAATCGACTGCTGAACGCAAGTTTGGTGTGTTAAGAAAAAACAATGGTAAACTAAAATGCCTGTAAACGACTGTAAACTCTAATGCCTGTAAACGACTGTAAACTCAAATGTCTGTAAACGACTGTAAACGAAGATGTGCACATGGACGCATAGCAAAAACATTAGGGTGAGTTCAGGGGCTGCTGAAAAAAACGCTGAACAGTTCCTAAACATGAGTTTATCAGCTGCAGTGTACATGAGCCCTAAAGTGTTACTAAACCCAGGACCCTGCATCCACTCTATCTGGTCTCCCACAGTACACACAAACATGGAAGTGCAATTATTTTAGTAAAATATAAACTGATACATTGTTGTGATCAACAAATAAGCAGTGATGGAGTAAACATAATAAACAGAATAAACATAAATGAATAGTACAATCCAAAACGTTGTGAAGTGTTCAAGCCCATTTGAACTATAAACAATCCAATTATTCACCCAACAACATTGAAGGAAAGAACTATCTCAACATTGAAAAAGAGATCTTGGAGAGGCGGGTTTCTCCTTCTATATTGCCTGGTTTATATGGTATGCCTGAACTGGGTCTGGAGATCCTGATAGTACCTTTATTGCTTGATAATATGAAAAGCGTGGATTGAGGCTGGATCTGGTAAGCCTCCCATTCTACTGCAAGTTGGTGGTGAAGAAGTTATTTGTTTATTATGTTGGACACTGGTGTCGGGTGAATAATTGGATCATTTATAGTTCAAATTGACTTTTTAATTTTACTAATCATTTATGTTTACTCATGTTACTGCATCATTGTTTATTTGTTGATCACAAGGATGTAGCGCCTTTTTCATCATAAATGATATCAAAAGGGTATTTGCACTCTATTTAAGTACTGCTTCCCTTATCACTATTTTATTTTAGATTTTTGATTTTTTAATATGAATATGTAGATGTGGATGGTGCCACCTAGTGTATTTATTTATTATACACTGCTAAATACCTTTTCTCATCAGCAGTTGGAGCAGTCTTGGGACGTCTATCAGTGTTCAACAGAGCACGTGTTTAAAGCTTGAAGGAGTTTTATTTCTGCTCTAGGAGGATACAGAACCCCTGACCTCTGTCTGGACAGTGCTGATTGGCCCTGTGCTGAACACATGCACTCTCCCAAAGAAAAAAAACCTCTCTAGCAATACACACTAAACTGAGCATGTGCAGAGTCTCTCCACATGCTATGTCTTATCAGGAGATAAGAGGGAGACACTGGAAGAAGGGGAGGATCAGAGAAGTCAGGATCAAACAGCATTTTTACACAATGTGGAGATTAACCCCTTGGGTTCCACAGTGAGTATAATAAGCATGCTTTACTGCATATACAGACTGATGTTGTGGGTTTAGTAACACTTTAAAGTTGAGTGACGTCAGTTGACAATGGGCTTCAGGCTGAAAATGAGTCACAAGGAGCGCAGAACAAATTGCACTCCTGTAATCTACAGGATAAGTACAGCCAAAAGAGCTTTGGCTGTACTTTGCGTTTAAAGCAGAACTACACAGCATCCGAGAAACACAAAGAAAAAATGCTATTTAACCCTTTGGCGCCGGCGCCTCCCGGCCCTTTAAGGGTTTCAGAAGCTGGGGCGGGGTTTTAGGGTCATGTGACCGCTGTGATTCGCCGTCAGAGCAGTCACATGATTGGGAAAGGTCCTGATCGGAAGAGGAGATCGGGACCTTTCCGTGAGTACCGGACATGTGTGCTGGGAGTGCGCAGGGCGTGCGCTCTCAACACATATGTTTTTCTTAATTGCACACAAATGTGCGGCCACTCAGCGTATAGGCCCAGACGCCAGGAGGCTGCACATTTGTGTGCGGCCAGCGTGAAGAGGTTGATTCATTTTTAATATTCAAAGCAAGCTTCCCCATCCATCCATGTCTACATGCTTTATTTTGCGGAGAAAAATCACTTTGAAAAACATCCCGTACCATGTCATCTTTAATAAGGGCAGATGATTCATGTAGCATTAACTTCTTGGAATCCATCTGCCCTTAGTTCAGGTATACAAACAGGAGGGCATGCTTAGCTGAGAAAACCCTTCCTCTGCTCCAGATGATTCCTGGGATGTATGACATTATTTGCCTAGGCAAAAAAACAGAAAGTAATTGAAGAAATGTAAAAAAAAATGTTACTGCCTTCTTCAGCTGCTGGGCTTACACTACATTTCCAGAATCCGTCACATGCAAGAATGAATGTGAGTTTCTGGGTTGACATAACTCCATCAGTGGCCTCATATCCAAGCAACAGAAATAGCACAGGGATGAAGGTCATTGAGGGAGGACAATTTGGACAATTAAGAGGATAGGTAGAACATAGTAACAGAAGAAGGAATGTGAGGGACAAAAAAATCAGCCCATGTAACCAGCCAGCCAATGAGCAAAAATTTTAAGGGACCAGACTTTGTTAAAAAAAAAACCTAAGTGCTTGGCTCCTCCCATCAGCAACACTGAATGCATTGCCAAACTTAGTAGCTTTATATAGGTAGCCAAGAGAGAAGTTCATGGGCCAGATTGAAAATGTTTTTGAGGCAATCTAATCAAACAGCTGACAGGTTAGAACAGTTAACACAGTTCCAGCACTATTATATGAGACTTGTACTTTTATTAGTGAACCTTTATTTTTGTCTGGGCTTGTTTATCATCAGATAACTGAAAGTCTGCTCAGCCAACCACTAGATACCAATACAATGAATGAAAAGAGGTTGTAATGATATAAACTGTACAATTTTATGCAGAAGAGCAGTCATATTGAAACCTATAGTAGACAGACCAGCTGGACAGCCTTGTATTCCTTGTAGCATTTATCGCAACGTAGCTCCTTTCCAGAATACCAGTGGTTAACTGGAGAGCTGTTAGGTGTCCTTCATCTCTGACATCTGTCCAGAATGTGCTGTTTCATTGAAAGAACTTCACGTCCACTGTTCTTTAAGCTGGCATTCAAGCTAGAGAAGTTTCTGTTTAGTTGGATTGGAGTTTCCTTCTCTGCTGTTTTATCACCAGGGGACAAGTAATCTTTTTGTGGACAGTGAAAGGTTTGTTGTTTGACAGGTAGGTTCCAAGCAATCAGTTTGCATCTGTAGCACCTCTTTCACATCAACAGAAATAACTAATAATCAAGACAAATTGTTTGGTAATTGATGCTTCATAATACGGTACACTGCAGTGTTCATCCACTAAGCACAGCAATATTTACTTTTATGAATGAGCATGGACAGGGATAGGGAAGCACAAGCAATAAACATAATTTTTCATTCAGAAAAGACACTGCTCACCTTAAGGGTCCATGCACATTGGGCTTAAAAAATGATGCGTCTACAGGAGTTTTGCCTGTAGAAGCAGCCCAATGTTATCCCATGTGTCCATGCATATTAGGACGTTTAGAAGCATATTTTAAGCTCCGCATATAGAAACAGAAAAACACCCTTCTGGTGGGAGTTTTCTGGCAGAAAAAAACCTCTAAATGCACCTAAACTGACATTTTTTAAGCCCAGTATGCATGGGCCCTAAATTACAGCATAAGTTTGTTCATGCCAGTACTACCTTAATGGTGGTGTCACCAGTGAAAATCAAGTAGTTAATTGCTAGAATAGGAAAATAATAGCTGGTACCTAATTGGTTGCTATGGAAAGTACAGGGGTTTTACTTTGTCCTAGCCATCAATGTTTTTTTAGACATGTGCGATTCATTTACAAATCGAAATTCAAGTGAAATTTTAATTATTCTGTGATTGGAATGTGCCCAAATTTCCGAATCACTATAGTAACAAATTGCAATGAATCCAAAACTAATTATAATGAAAGAAAAGATCCAAGTTCAAATTCGAAAATAAATTTGAATTTAAAAATTGATTTGAAATCAAAAATTAAATTGAAACTTAGTTGTCTTCAGAACTTCATGGAAGGTCTTGTGATTCTTGGAGGAAATCTCAACATGGTCTTTGACCCTCATTTGGATACCTCCTGAAGTCAACACCCTATTTCTTGGTCTCAGTTGAACAAGTTGAAATCTACTTTCATGGCCCTACGTCTTGTAGATGCCTGGTGGATATTCCATCCCGGACAAAAAGATTATATGTATTATATTTCAGTTCCCAACTCTTATAGCCAGAGAGATTATCTTTTCATATCTCATCATCTCTTGGACTGGCATCCCACTTCTGTTATTTGGTTCTAGCCTCTGGTCCAATAATTTCTCTTTGTTTCTGTCATTTAAAATCCCTCGCACCTCAAAACCCTTTTCCACTTGGAGACTTAATGAGGTTCTGCTCACAGACACAGTTGTCTGTGCAGCAGTCCTCAAAACCATCTCTCATTTCTTGAGAGACCATGCCATGGATGAAACCCCCACTCCCTATTAAATGGGAGACTCTCAAGTGCATGATTCATGGGACTTTAATCTCCGAAGTCACCCTCCTAAAGAAAGCTAGGTCCTATAAGATTACTTCTCTTCTTCAGGAAATTCAGCGGCTCGAGTTGCCTCACAAATGCACCAGAGACCCAGCGGTTTACCAAGTTTTGCTTCAAAAACAATCTGCTTGGCAGAAACTCCTAGACCAATCCCATGCTATATGGACTGCTTTCTCCATACCAGTGGTGTATCTTGGGTTGTCAGCGCCCGGGGAAAGGCAAATAATTTGCACCCTGTAACGCATGGACCTACCTATTCTCAACTTGCTCCGGTCTGATAGTATGATCCCCTGTGTCAGTCAGCAGTGGCTGCAGGTGAGAGAAGAGAGCACTTGACAATGGCTGGTAAAGCCTGAAATAGTGTATTCATCCATAGATTACCATGTTCCATCTGTTGGCACACCCTCCTCTGCCCTGCATATACCACTGGCTCACACAGGGAATAACGTGACCGGACTGGAGCAGCCTGAAAATAGGTGTATACATCTTTCTACACAGGTTAGCCAGCATAGGCACTTGGAAGGTGAATGGGAGACTTTTTAAGGCTAGTTAGATTTAAACTGTAAATTTTACTTGAAAC